TCCGACTAGTTACCTAATATAAGTGTACTTCCAATCCGACTAGTTACCTAATATAAATGTACTTCTTATCCGACGAGTTACCTAATATAAGTGTACTTCCTATCCGACTAGTTACCTAATGTAAGTGTACTTCTTATCCGACTAGTTACATAATATAAATGTACTTCCTATCCGACTAGTTACATAATACAAGTTTACTTTCTTTCCGACTAGTTACCTAATATAAGTGTACTTCCTGTCCGACTAGTTACCTAATATAAGTGCACTTCCAATCCGACTAGTTACCTAATATAAGTGTACTTCTTATCCGACTAGTTACCTAATATAAGTGTACTTCCTATCCGACTAGTTACATAATATAAGTGTACTTCTTATCCGACTAGTTACCTAATATAAGTGTACTGCCTGTCCGATTAGTTACATAATAGAAGTGTACTGCCTGTCCGACTAGTTACCTAATATAAGTGTACTTCCCATCCGACTAGTTACATAATATAAGTGTACTTCCTATCCGACAAGTTACATAATACAGGTGTAATTTCTATCCGACTTGTTACATAATATAGGTGTACTTCCTGTCCGACTAGTTACCTAATATAAGTGTACTTTCTATCCGACTAGTTACCTAATATAAGTGTACTTCCTGTCCGACTAGTTACCTAATATAGGTGTACTTCCTGTCCGACTAGTTACCTAATATAAGTGTACTTTCTATCCGACTAGTTACCTAATATAAGTGTACTTCCTGTCCGACTAGTTACCTAATATAGGTGTACTTCCTGTCCGACTAGTTACCTAATATAAGTGTACTTTCTATCCGACTAGTTACCTAATATAAGTGTACTTCCTGTCCGACTAGTTACCTAATATAGGTGTACTTCCTGTCCGACTAGTTACCTAATATAAGTGTACTTTCTATCCGACTAGTTACCTAATATAAGTGTACTTCCTGTCCGACTAGTTACCTAATATAGGTGTACTTCCTGTCCGACTAGTTACCTAATATAAGTGTACTTCCTATCCGACTAGTTACCTAATAAAAGTGCACATTTTGTCCAACAATCGAGTAGCTTCAAAATTTTCTGTCTAAGGAATATGATAGCGACCAATCCCTCGCTGTTATACTTGCATGTTTAGCGTGAAGATTGTAAACATATATATCAGGAATTTGATAAATAGATTGTTTACTTATTGTATTTAGTAGTCACAACTTCGCAAGGCTTTAACCGTGAGACACATTCCTGGTAATCACGTGATCGTGCCTAAAGCGATTGGCTGATCGCATGTTTACTCCGCCACGCCTTAGTGTTTTGACCTTTAATATAGAGTATGTAACCTTGGTAAGAGGAGGGAGAACGAGCGAACGGTACAGCGAGGGGTAACCTCAGCTGATTGCTTGTGTGAATAAACCTGGACTACCTGTAATGAACTAATGTGTATTCATGTAAGTAACATTAGCCAAGCGAGACAAAGTTCCTGACCCCGAACACAACGCATGTGTTCACAACAAATGTATAAAACAGCTCTTTTTTTAGGATAGCATCATCTTGTAAAGGATGAATTATCGGATCTACCAATAGTTTATCCAATGTTTATCCAACTTACTTTCATGTTGTATTCAGCTTCAACAACTACCTGGAGTGTGGTACATAGAAGAAACTGTTATGGTTAATGGATCTGATATCTCATGGGGACAAGACCGCATTGACCAGAGATTGTTACCACTTGACAACACTTACACACCAGCAGGTGAGATGATTTGTTCTGTAAATCTGGTGGATTGGTATTTGGGGTTGGCATGGGAGCTTGTAATATAATGTAACGTATTTTGTAGTGTTGTATGGTTCAAAATAGTACAGTGCTTGTTCTACTGTGATAGGGTTTTATGTTTTGCATTGATGTATTGATAGTGTCGAATAACGCAATGTTAGATGTAATGTAATGTAATGTAATGTGTTTATGCTTTTATGTAATGTAATGTGTTTTTATGATGCATAACCAATTCTTGAAACGCTTCACTACAGGTGATGGACAAGGTATTAATGTTTACGTATTGGACACAGGAATAAAGTTGAGTAATAAGTATTTTGGTAACAGAGTTAATTTGATGTACGACTATGATTCTGTTAAAGTAAGTAAATAAAATAATTCTCTATAATATAAAAACCCATTGTGGCTATTTCATACAAAAATATCGTGATAATAACGAGAAGTTTCGTAATAACACATTGTCTCATGATATGACAATAACACGAGATTTCGTGATGATTCATATGTATAGAGTGAATATCTGTATTACAAGCTAAAGTGATACTGTATACAGTGTTAGGATAATTACTCTCACACTAAGTTGGTCATTTATTATGCTATATTGTGTATGTCAATACATAATCTATTACATAATCTAAAAACCGTTGATACGAAAACATGTTTAATTATTATTTTTTATGATGTGTTTATTATTACCATTGTAATACTGTAACGGACTGATCACGTGAAAGGCAGTGGTCGTCGCGCCACGCATGCGCGAGATATGGGTCTCATATATGAGCAACTTTGGGCGACTTTGAATGTTGCTCAGGACAACGAGTACAATCTGATACGTTATCAAGCTTTAACTAGATAATTCCTTTCGTGATTGGAAGGTTTCGAAGAATCACTGGCGGTAATTAGTTCATGCAACGCCCAGGTACAAACTTGTGTGTACTTGTGATTTCCGCTAGAAGAGCGCATTGGTAAAACCAATGTTTATCAACACAAATGCCGCTCATACGAGGTACGACGACTACCGTCCTTTAATTACAAGCACACACTTTGCTTAATGTAAGATATGTACGATTTCAGCCACGTAAAAAGATGTGTCACGAACACGGCACGCACGTAGCTGGTGTGGTCGGCAGTAACATATATGGTGTAGCGAAAGGAGTTACATTGAACTCAGTACGAATCCTTAACTGTAACAATGCAGGCACTTCATCCAACATAATTGCTGGTAGGTATTGATGTG